TTCCAAAGGAAACAGATGTATTTAAAGTCTTTTCACTGATTTTAAGGGTACCTCAGAAAACACACAATATATTCCAGTGCTAAGTTCCTCACTATATCAAGCTAGTTATGCGCTACACAAAGCAATAACACTTGAACTTCCTGAAAATGTCTTCACAACATTATAACCTAATATAACTGCATGACTTTGATAATCAAAGTTGGTGCATGTTTTGTGTTCTCAAGCATAATTGATTACAACATTCAAAGTCCCTTATACAACTGTAATTAGAGTTGATTGTTCAGAAAATCAGATTCTCCATATAATCAAATAATATGAATTACTTAGTCAGATGATGAAAATCTTTTTTTTTTTTTAATTGGCTACTAGAGGGGTTGAAATTAGAAGGTTCAACGGTTTTCAGTTCAAATATGTAGTAGTTTCTTTTACCCTGAATTTCTGGTATAAATATCCAGTAACCCATATTCTGATATTATCCAGTTCTTGCTTTATCACATGTAGGATGATTTCTTCGAATCTGAGTCTTTTACTAGGACCTGCTTAGGTCCTTTTGTCCAAAGTCAGCAAGGTGAGGAACTGATTTCCAAGAAGCAACTGCTGTATCAGTTTAGAAAGAATCTATCTATAGTAATTTCCTCAGGTAGTGACTGACCTCAAACACGATAATGAAGGCCAGGCGAGCAGCGAGGATATGCCAATATTGTAAGGTGAACTCATAGGGTTTGGAACTCCAAGGGGGCCCTCTGTAGTCTCGGTACCTGGAACCCACAAAAACAGAGCATGAAGAGTGGCGAACGAAGCGTGGAGGTCCCATGTTTTTCTCATCTACCAGAACTCCGAAGTGACAGTTCAAATGGGCTCCTCAGCATGCAGAGATGCAGAGAAGGTTGGGATGTCAGAAGAACGTACCTGCAGTAACCAGATTTTCCCATTCCAAGCTCACTCAGGTTGAAGAAGGACAGGCTGTTGTTGACGTACCCCTTCAAACAACTGGAAGGAATACAAAAGATCATGTGATTCAGAGAGTCATCAAATTTTCAGTGAATTCACTTACTACAAATGCCATTTCAAATTTTCAGTGAATTCACTTACTACAAATGACAGGATTTTACAAATGCCATTATTCTTTCCATTCTAACTGTGAAATCCTAGCAACTCGGCTGTCTCATTCCATTCCCTTACCTCGTTACATCTGAAATTGCGCCCCGAGGAGACGGACTCTGGTCCTGACATTTTCTCTCAATAATTCCCATCTGTCCCTTTCATTTCATTTATATTTACTAAGTGGTTACTATGCACTAGGTATTCTGCCATCACCTCCTATACATCAAAACTATGAACAGGGCCAGCAGGTAGTGTGATGGTTATGGCACTCAACTCCCACATGGCCAACTGAGGTTCCAGTCCCAGATCCTGCAGCTTGAAAACCACTCTGGGTACATGTGTGCATGTGTTCAAAATCTCAGGAGAATGGCGAAGAAGGGAATGTGCCATGGCCATCCCCGCTCAGGGGGGAAGGAGGGAGTGATGTCTCACTTTCTCTCTCACCATCTCTTTTTCTCTCTCTCCAGCAAGTCATGCACCCTATGACAAAAACCAAACCAAGCCAAAGCAAAACAAGACAAAACAAAAACTATATGTCTTACAAATGTGCATGCATGTAACACTATTTGGTTAATTGTAATTAAGTGGTCAGTCATTAACCACTGTTTATTATTTATTAACCTACTCAATATATACTTATTGAGGGCCTACAATTTGTTAGAAAAATTCTCAATGGTTGGTATCAAACAGTGAACAAAACAGGCAAAAATCCCTATTCTTGGGGAGCACAGGGAAGCCAATACATCAGCATAATTGTTAAATAAACTATTTAGAATGCTGAAAGGTAATTACATGCTATGAAAATAAAAATGGAATAGTCCTTCCAGATAAGCAATGGTAAGTCAACAACAATCAAGTTTAGAAGGACATAGAAGATGTGTGGGAATAAGAACCAGGTAAATGAAAGTTCCCAAGAGAGAAAGTCTCTCTCTAAGTGAGGCTATTAAAGAATCCCGGGGAGAGATGACAGCAGCTTGGACAGGGTCATGCCAGTGGAAGTGGTGTGAAATGGATATGTTCTGAAGGTAGGGTCAACATGTATTTCAGTGAATTGTATGAGGTATGAGAAAAATAAGTTTTCAAGGCTGATTCCAAGAATTGTGGTCTTTGCCGCTGAATTAGGGAATTGCTCTTAACTGAGATGGAGTAGACTGAAAGTTGATCAGGTTTGGAGGAGCTCTAAAGTTTAATTTAGCACACAGTAAATTTAACATGCTTATTAGACATAATGCTAAGGCTTCAAAAAGTTCATGGGAAATGAATACTATGAAGAAACTGCACAGATCAAAAAATTGTTTAAAGAATTACTTTATTGAACTTTATTTTATTTATTTTTATTTGACCAGAGAGGGACAGAGTAAGAGAGAGTGCGAGAGAGAGGGAAAGTAAGAAAGGAAGCTGCCAGGTCCAGGACTCGAACTGCTGTCGACCAGGTGGGAATCTAGTGCCCTTAACCACCATGCCACCTACCAGCCCTGCTTTTCAAAAAAAATTTTTGCACTAGAGTAAACTTATACCTTAAATCTATTTTCCTGTGCAATCTTTGAAATCCCTTGGTATAAGTGAACAGTGGAATATTCCAGTTTGGCATTAGGGAATGAGATTAGATCCATGACACTGAATGAGATAGCTAAGGAAATAAATATGGGAAAAAAGAGAAGAGGTCCACAGGTTGAACCCTTTGGGCACTGCAAAAATTAAGATTCTGAGAGATGAACAGAACTAGTAAAAATGACTAATAGGTGTGGATGGTGGGGTAGCAGGAAAAACAAAATTCTAGAAGTCAAATAATTGAAATATATAAAGAAGGAAATAATCAACTATCACATGCTGCTAATAGGCCAAGTAATGTGATCCTTCAGAGCTGACAAGTGGCTTTGGCAATGCAGGCTGCTGATAAATTTTAGTGGAGTGGTGGGGGATGCTAAGCCTTACTGATGAGAGTTTAAGGGGGAGGGAACAAGGGAACTGGAGAAAGCAGGAACAGAATATTCTCTGGGCATGTTTGTTACAAGTGGGACTGGCACAGTAGAGACAAGGGAGGACTTTACATATTGACTACAAGAGTAACAGCATGTTTCAAGGTGAATGAAAATACAACAGAGGCAAGTTTGGTATTACAGTACATGAGAGAAAGGAGAGAATTACTAGAAAAATGTCCTCAAGGAAAGAAGAGTTCTAGAGCACAAGTGGAGGAATTCCACTTTCTAGAGGAGCACAGGTCGTTCTATTTTCAGTAACCAAAAGGTGGGCCACACAGGATGCGTGCTGTAGGTAGGTAGATGTGATAATGCATGTCTATGAGAGTTCTTTACTCAATTTCCCTAGTCGAGTAGGAAACGAGTAAGTGAGTGTGAGAATAAAAAAGGAGGTGCTGGAGGCTTGAGAAACAAGGAGAAGATATAATAACCATTTCTAAAAAAGCAGACTGGAAAAAGAAAATATGATTGCTAGGTCTATAGGAGGTATGTGGCAAAAATTTTAAGAGAAACTGTTTCTCTCGACATACAGCTGCCTGGCTACAGTACAGGGCAGACAAAGAGTTCTCAGAGCCAAAGATGTGATTCCGCCCAACCCACAAGATATAAAGGGAGGGAGGAGAGGGACCTGGATGTCCGAGGAAGTGACTATGATGGTCCACTTGGGTTGCAACGTGCATAAGGATGAAAAAGAAGACATGAAAGGAAAGCAGGGTGAGCACACATGACCAATGGTTGAAAGTTCTAGGTAAATTCAAAGAACCATTTAAAAGAGTGTTCGTTTTAATTGTGTGATCAATGCAATGTGGGTGGGAAGGGAATGGAGGACAATTTTGGACACTAGAGGTGGTGTGAGAGGAGGGTGGGAAGGGACAGAGGGTCAGAAAGAGGGGTGGAATTAATTCTAGCAACTAGAAGTGGAAATTTATTTTTTTTTGTAATGTGCATGATTGAGTCACTATGTAGCGTGTACTGGATGGGAGATCGCATTTTGTGTGCTGTGATGATGCCTAGGGAAGGAATGCAAACTGACTTACAAAAAAAAGTTTCAGGAAAACAAAATGTATCTATTCAATGACTGCAGTAGGATATGTAGCCCCAGTTAGGTGCTAATTTATAGGATGTGTAAAGTTAGACTTGTGCTCATGGAAATGTGTGTGTCACATATGTTTGCTAGGAGGGTATTTGGATTGATGAGGGTCTTTGGTGATTCAATAAAATGTGGGGGGAAAATGGTATAGAAAGCAAACATAGATAACAGAGACAGTGTGGGAGGAGAACAGGAGGTGGCAGAGGGTAAGAGAGAGGGAACCAAGGAGGATGGGAAAAAGCAAAACATATAGAAAACAAGAAATCGAAGATCATTTGCTAATAATAACATGTTTGTTGATGTGCTTGATTGAGACAATATACAGTGTACTCTGGATGGAAAATCTCATTTTGTATGCTGTAATGATGTACAGTGAATGAATGCAAATAAATTGGAAAAAAAAATGCAATTAAAAAAAAAAAAAAGAGTATGCTCAAGGCGGGTCTCCAGCCACCCCCGGGGACCCCGC